TCATCCTTATGACACCCTTTTAGATACCTGAAAACTGCTATCATGTCCCCCCTCAGTCTTCTCTTTTCTAAACTAAACAAACCCAATTCTTTCAGCCTTCCTTCATAGGTCATGTTCCTTAGACCTTTAATCATTCTTGTTGCTCTTCTCTGGACCCTCTCCAATTTCTCCATATCTTTCTTGAAATGCAGTGCCTAGAACTGGAAACAATACTCTAACTGAGGTCTAACAAGCACAGAGTAGAGCAGCAGAATGACTTCTCGTGTCTTGCTCAAAACACACTTGTTAATGCATCCCGGAATCACGTTTGCTTTTTTTGCAACAGCATCACACTGCTGACTCCTATTCAGCTTATGGTCCATTATAACCCCTAGATCCCTTTCTGCCGTACTCCTTCTAGACAGTCACTTCCAATTCTGTATGTTTGAAACTGATTGTTCCTTCCTAAGTGGAGCACTTTGCATTTGTCTTTATTAAACTTCATCCTGTTTTCCTCAGACCATTTCTCCAATTTGTCCAGATCATTTTGAATTATGATCCTATCCTCCAGAGCAGTCGCAACTCTTCCCAGTTTGTTATCCAGGCCCTGATCCAGAGCTGGCACTCCCAGTCAGAGCCATCACCTGCTCCTATACTCCAACTCTCTTCTCCATCCTGGAACCTCCTCCTGCTCTCTGAACCCCTCATTTTTGGCCCAATTCCAGTTGTAAGGTTGCCATCTTTCCCAACCAAATTCCAGCAATGGCATCGGGTCCATCCAGTTGGCAGAGTTGGCAGCCCCAATACCGAAGTCTAGGGAAAGCTTGTAGGTTATATTTTTAGATACTGTTTTGAAATTTGTGTGCATAAATTAGTCAGGTGGCAGTGGTGATAGGTGCAAGCAGGATTTGAAAAAATTGACTTTTGCAATCCAGAGGACTCATCCTGCTAGCCCAGAAAATAATTTTAAAAAAAGTTGGATGGGGAATCCCAGCAGCTGGTGCAGAGGTGCTGGGCTTCTGTTAAGTAGAAAGATACAGACAGCATTCTATAGCAACTCCAGTTTATCTAAGTTGGGCACTCCTGTGTAATTAGTAAGTGCCTTAACGTTAGAGACACGTTTGTTTTCTCTTTCTCTATCCAGTGCCTCCTTACCAAAGCAGGCAGAGGAATAGCTGTTACATTCTCCCCCCTTCTTGCTTGTTAGTTACTAATTTTTATTTCTTCATAGACTGTTTTGTAAGATGCCATGCACACTTGAGAGAAAGTGGAGGCTTTAGTTGGCTTCCTCTCCCCAGAAGCATGAAAGCAAAGCTGATCAGAAGATTCTATGAGGAACAGGGTGCATGTGTGTTTGTGTGCATACACTGTTTATGTGGAGTAGTTTCAGCTCTAGAAGCTGAGATGGAATTCTTTAGTGAGGTGGTGGTTTTCTCAGTGTTTCTATTGGGTCTGAGGTACCAATCTTGCTTCCAACAGTTCCCCTTTTAGAGGACTGCATGAGAAACTCCGCTTTACTACTAGAAGAATTCTGGAATTGTTGCTTTTGGAAACAAAATTGAAGAATATCCCCTGGGAAAGACAGCTTTCATTTTTCACCAGTGTAAATTTCTAGTGTTCAGTTCATGACTGCAGACAATCTTAACTGAGAAAAGTTCACTATACAGTCTCAAAGCAGGTGGCTTACGAACAGAACTCCTATGTATTTGTCTTTAAAAATAATCTCACTATTTTTGGTGGTGGGCAGTGGCTAACTTGAGTTTTTGGGGTTGACAACATTGTGAAAACGGCCAAAAAAACCTTTTCTTAAAGCCTACATTCTTGAAAAATACCTTAAATGGGAGGCAAGAGTGTAATTCTCCCTGTAAATTGACATTAGAAAATGTAAACTTTCATATAAATAAGCAAAGTCCAGTGGCCTTTCAAAAACTTCTCTTCTCAGTAATAATTCACTTCTGATTTGTTATGCTTCAGCAGCGTCATAAATGGCTGTTAGAGGCTGAGAGTTACAGCTATTCTAAGGGATTCTAAGTTTGGGTTATTTCCTCTTTTTCTTTTTTTTCTTATAACTGAGGGGTAATGAAAATTGTAAACATCTATGGCTTTTTAGCAGGAATCCTAGAACACTCGAATTGGAATGGACTCGAGAGGTAATAGAGTCCAGTCCCCTGCCCTCATGGCAGGATCCAGTACCATCTAGACCATAATGGGAAGAATGGAGTTGCATCTAACTAACCCAAACCCGAAGGGTGGCTCAACAAGGGAAAATGGAAATACAGGGAAGGATATGTGGGTGTCATTTGGCCACAAAGCATAAAGGGCCTAATCTTGATTCTGTTCAAGTCCAGTGGGATTTTTCTTGGTGGATTCAGTAAGAGCTGGATCTAGTGTCTTTAATTGTAAAGAATCTACCTGTCTTGAAGGGAAAAAAAATGTTGATGCATTTTTAATTAGAATGTTGTTAGCCTCCAAGACAGTTTTGTAACTTTCAAATGGATGAAAGAAAGATTGCTATACTTGAACTAGGGATGTGAAGGTTTAACTGGTTGGGCTGGGGACCTGCTGTGGTAGAGGGCTACTTCAGTCCTGTAGGGGCCCATTACAGATAGGGTCTGTTCCAGCACAGGTAAGGGCTGTTCTGACACCAGAGCAGCCCGTTTGCGGGGCACCCTAGACCCTCTGCAGGCAGGGGCTGCTCTGAATGCTGTGAATGGGATGCATTCTAGCCAAGCAGCTAGGGGTGGAACAGCTTGGCTGGAGCACAAACACACCTCTCCGTCCCTCTCCTTTAATCTCCTTTTAATCAGTTAACTGCTTCATTGCTTAACTGAGATTTTACATTCCTTGCTTGAACCAATTATACTCAGTGTTGTAGTGTTATCTCAAGTTTGTTGTGTTTTCCATAATCTTCTAACCCTGACATCCTTCAATCTTCCACACTCCCCTCTAAAATAAAACTTTCCTAATCTAATTTGTCACTTCTAAAAACTTTAGGCAATTAAATGACATTTCACCGTGGTGCACAAGTGAGTTCAGCGTATTTCCTGTTATGGATCTAAGCAACTAATCATCTAGTCGACTATCCGATAAGCAAAAGCTTATCGGATAGTCAATACATTAGTCGACTGGTTGCTGCCGCCCCAGCCCTGCTGCCTCTATCACAGAGAGGAAGGGGTGCTCCACCTGAGACTGGGCAGGGGGCACAGTGATGGCGCTTCCTCTCTGGGGCTCTTGTACATTTTCAAAGGCGGAATGCGCACTAGTGCTTATCAGCTAATCAAACAGTCGATGGAAATTCCATCAACTATTCAATTAGTTACTCAATATTTAATATCTGTACTTCATGTTGGCTTGGCAAACATTCCATTCATGGAATCTTCTAACCAGAATATCGATGTAATGAGAGAGCCTGCAGATCTACTCATTTTCTGAGCAGTCTAAAATTAATGTGTTAAAAACTGAGAGAAATCAATGGAAGGTGCAGAAAAGTTGGTAGTCATCACTTAGTTTACATTTGGGGATTTTCTTCTCTGCCGTGATATCTAAAGGCTGAGTTTCATTTTTAAATAAAAACTGAAGTTTTTATTTCAATATATTTGCTTTAGAGATGGGCTGCACAGCACACTGGTTCAGTCTCAGTTCTGGCTGGTTCAGTTAAATTCTAATTTCAAGGGTCCTAATTCTGCAAATGACTCTTCAGGCAGACCTGCCCTCTAATAGTTGAAAGCAGTTTTACTGAAACAGCTTAATGCTACAGGATTGTTTAATTGTCGGTATTTAGAATAAATCTTAATTTTGGATTTAGTGTTAATTCTGATCCAAAATGAACAGTTTCCTCTGCAAAATCAAAACACATTTTTAAAACTAAACTTTATTTTCTGCTTGGTAATGACACTTGAAGGGCAGTCACTTTTTAATTGATTTTTGTGCAAGGCTAATGTTGAATTATTTTAGTTAGAGAAACAGGTATCTGCCTGAATCATAATGCTACAAGAGAAAGGAGGCTAGTTTTTGTGGCCTTTTTGATTTTGAGGAAGGGCATCTATGGGACTTTTGTAATTCAAGGAAGCTTAAAAGTTAGCAAGACACTAAAAGTTCTGTTGTAAAATTCGTATCCGCGATCGGGACATTTGTAATTAAAGGAAGCTTAAAAGTTAGCAAGACTTTAAAAGTTCTGTTGTAAAATTCGTATCCGCGATCTGAAAGCACAAATGCTGTCATCTTAAGTCTTCAAAACTGTTTCTGAAACACATTGAGACATTTTGCCATCTTGCGCTGATGATCTGAAACTTGCCTTGCTAAACACTGTTGCACTTGACCTTGGAAAAACATGGCCCCAGTAAGCACCTAAATGGGACTGACTTAAATTGCCTACAGTAAGGTTCTAGTTACCTTACTTAATGGGGCATACAGTGTTTCTTGGGAGCAAACGAACATACTTGTGGGATTTCAGGATGTTTGTGTATACCTTTATGCTGCTATTGACTATTGGCACACTACTGCAAAGCCATAAGAACACTCCTGATAATATAGTTCCTCTTCTGGCAGTTTGTTAGTAAATGCTGAACGTTTTTGGTCAGAACATTTCATATTAACATAGGAGATAACAAGTTTACATATTTGCTAATTATGTAAAAGGGACTCCTCTATATATTACATAACCTTCATTTTTCTAAGTGATAGTGTGAATAATGAGGAAGGGAAGTGAAACAGTAACTGAATTGGATTAAGGGGTTATAATGGTTAGTAATCTTAAGTGTCCAGGGGTATGGAATAAGGGGGTTATCTTTTATCATTGCTAAACTGAAAAAGCTTGAATGGGAATGGCAAAATATATAAAATTTTTAGAGCTCTAATTGTTAGTTAAGAACGTCTACAGAGGATGTACAGTTTTCTCACTGAAAGCATGTCATAAAACAGACTTTTAACATGTTAGCAGATTTGTATATACAAATAGATTACTCCTATTTGACTAAACATTGAACCCAATATCCACTGAGCTTTTTTTCTTTTTTTAACAGTGCATCTGGGGCAAGTGTTGTAGCCATTGACAACAAAATAGAACAGGCAATGGTAAGTAGAAAACAGATTCCTATTTCTAGTATAGGTTGGACCTCCGTGGTCCAGCACCCTTGGGACCTGACATGTCCCAGATGAGGGATTTTGCCAGACCAGGAAAGGTCACTTCTGGACCTCCCGCAACCCTCTTCACCTCCATCAGGGAATGGGGCCAACAGACTGTTCTGGGCAGCCATTGCTGTGCTGTGGCTCCGGGTCCTGCTGGGTAGCTGCACGCTGTAGATCCCTGCCCCAATGAGCTAGTGGAGCTCGCCACCCTGCTGGGCATGGCTGCTGCCACACTAACAGCAGGATCACTGCAGGCAGCCCACTGCTTTGCTGGCCCTGCAGGGAACCTTGTCATTGGACCTCCAGCGGGACACTCTGGTGCTGCGACATCTGTGCTGGACCATGGATGTTGCCGGACCAGAGAATCCCAGGTAAGAGAGCCTCATCCTGTAGGACAAGCCGTTATCAATAAATCTTTCAAGACGCATCCATTTTTATTCAAACATGCTTTTTTCAGAATCGTGCAGATTTCTAGAATAAAATTGTGTATCATTAGGCTGAATTGCATTGTAGGTGTGAATACAATGTCTGTTCTCCTCCCCTTCAGTTAGTCCCGATTCTTCCATTCCATGTGAAATGTATTTTCCTAGATCATGGAGTGGCAAGGAATCAGGATTAGTTAACATTTGACCTAAAACTTGATGTACAAAAGTTTTTAAACAATCTGAAAGGATTTAACATAAAAACTTGGCTTAAATATAGACACACTCAAGATATAGTATACTTTTTAAAAAAAAATTCTTTGTTTATTTACTATTTAAAAGAACAATTAAAATCCAGCTCTGCCACTTGTGTGTAGGTTTTTTATTTTTCCCTCCCTTTCTAAATAGTCTTAGTTTTCTTCTGATTCTTGTACGCTGCATTGCAGGATCCCATCATTAGTTCTCAGGACACTATTTTTTTAGTTATCTTCTAATCACATTGTCCCCTGGTGTATATTCCTAGAAATAAGGCTAGTTGTCTGATCACTGGACTACTTGGCTCCCAATGACATACTGTCCTGCAAAGCTAAATGTGTGTGTTTATAGTATTAATTTATATTAGCAAAGAAACACATGTTCACGCATTCAAGTTGGAAAACCATCTATAAGATGCTAGTTTCAGTAAGATATTTTGTGCAATTAATGTATGCGTGTTATGAAGCCAAAACCTAGAACACAACCTGCTGTCTGTTTTTATTATAAAGTGTGTTTTGGACATTAAAATACATATAACTGGAAGGCTGTTCCAAAAGCTCTATTTATATTCAGATTGCTGTAAAGCCTTCATAATTCCTGTGGAATAGAAAAGATCTTGCAATTTTAATGCAAATGGAAATGTCTATGCCTATTCTGTTGTGCAGTAGAACCTATTTAACATGCAAAATTGTAGGGCCTTTCAGGATGAGGAAGTTGCTGCACAATGTCTCCAAGTGCTATATTTACTTCTGAACATAGTTTTTATTTAGTGATAAATATTTTTCTAGTGTTACTAGAAACCAGATCTGTGTTAATGGAATAAGTGAAATCATACTAACATTTTAGGATTGAAGAGGATAGAGTTGTATTGCAAAACTCTGCTGTTTCAGTTTTGTGTAACTGCTGCCTTACTGTTCACAGGATCTGGTGAAAAGCCATTTGATGTATGCAGTCCGAGAAGAAGTGGAAGTCTTGAAGGAACAAATAAAAGAATTAATTGAAAGAAACTCTTTACTTGAACGTGAAAATGCACTGTTAAAATCTCTTTCAAACAATGATCAGTTATCCCAGCTCTCAACTCAACAGGCCATCCCTAGTAGCACTTCACAACTGCAAACAGTGATAGCACAGCCTCCTCAGCCAACGCAACCTCCACAGCAGCCGAATGTTTCCTCAGCGTAAAGCTTTTCTTTCCTCATTAAGAAAAAACTGAAAGCAATCTGTCCTTGTGTGCCACTGGTGTTCTTTCCACTTTAAATGAAAGCAAGTAGCCATGCTTCAGTTGTGTGTTTTGGCCTTTTCAGTATTAGACAATCATTCTACAAGAGCTTTCCCTCACTTTGAGATGTCATACAGCGCAGTTGGTGTCCAGTTATGTCATCAGTGCACAAGGGAAATGGTAGAAGGAGTTAATGCAAAGCATATGCATTTATTTGGTGCGCATGAGTGGGGTCTTTCAGAGCTTTGTTGGCTCTCCAAGGTTTCTTTTACCCATGGATTACTTTGAGCCTTGCTATCTCATGTAAGAAGTAACAATTCATCTTAAGAGCCACTGTTCTTTAAGTATAAGTAACATTTGCCTACGTTAGTTTCATTTATTTGTTTTATTTATTACAGGGCTGCTATTTTCATAATGTACATGAACAATGTCACAGAACTTTTTTTAATTTTTTTTTAAATAAATGTAAGTATCAGTAAAAATTCATAGATGGGATTGCGTTTAATAGATAAGATGTTTAGGCAATAATTGAACAAAAGAATCCTGGCATATTTCTAACACTAATGGCAATTTACCTTTTGGTATTTATTGACTGTAGTCAAGACCCAGCTTGAATGTAAATTTTGTATAGAGTGTAAGTATGAAGACCATAGTGCATCTGTACAGGTAGTCACCAGTTATTGTGATATAATAAATAATTGATGGGCTATTTTGATGAAGAAAACTTTGCTCATTTCTGTTTCTACTTTCTAATAGAGAGAAATTGCCATGATTCCTCTGCTTTTTGACATTTCGTATGATTTTTTTTTTGGGGGTGGGAATAAAAAGCTGTGAAATTGTTCAACCTACTTTGTAACCAAAGAAGCAAAGCTGTGTAATTGAGTTTTTTTATTTTATAATGCACATTCTTTATGTATTTTTATTTAGTGTTTTTCTCATTCACAATTTTCTTTGCTGTCTAGCATGATCTGCATGACCTATAATCTTTGAACCACTTTCGTACCTCATGTTTTTATCCAGCACTCTTATTGTAATATGTAATAGTCTGTGAACAATGTCAAATAAAAAAGAACGAACAGCTGGTGTTGGTGGAGCTGAACTAGTGTGCTATCCACTAGTTTAAAAAAATGAAGTGAGCCATCTTTTGTTCATTTAAAATGGTGTTTTGAATTTCGTATGAGAAAACGTTTTGTTACATTGCAGATTTTAATGTATTTAATAAATGCAACATGCAGATTAAGTGCAGTGTATATTGAGTATTTAAATTAAAAATGTACATTTCATAAATAGTTTCAAGAGACCATCATTTGTGTATACTAACACATAGTGTCAGAAATTGATGTATAAATATATATTTTAACACATTTTCTGAAATTAAACTGCAGTTTTGTTGAACTATTTGACTCTAGATGTGTTCAAAATGTAATATTAGATTGAATAACAGTTTTTCTTAACATAATTGAAGTGATGCCTTGTTTTTAATGAGTAATAACTAGTAATAGGCTTAGATGCTCTTATTAAAATTTTAATTCAAATAGTAAGTAACTCAACATTTGCCCTAAAACTTAATTAACACTGTTACAGTTGACAGTGTCTTATATCCTTCCAGAAGGTTGAGTGCATGTATACTTATACTTACCTAGAAATAAAAAAGGAGTCCTATAAAAAATGGAAAGTAGGACAGATTTCAAAGGATGAATATAGGCAAACAGCACAGGAATGCAGGGGCAAGATTAGAAAGGCAAAGGCACAAAATGAGCTCAAACTAGCTACGGGAATAAAGGGAAACAAGAAGTCTTTTTATAAATACATTGGAAGCAAGAGGAAGACCAAGGACAGGGTAGGCCCCACTGGTGAGTGAGGAGGGAGAAACAGTAACAGGAAACTTGGAAATGGCAGAGATGCTTAATGACTTCTTTGTTTCAGTCTTTATCGAGAAGTCTGAAGGAATGCCAAACATAGTGAATGCTAGCGGGAAGGGGGTAGGTTTAGAAGATAAAATTAAAAAAAATAACAAGTTAAAAATCACCTAGAAAAGTTAGATGCCTGCAAGTCACCAGGGCCTGATGAAATGCATCCTAGAATACTCAAGGAGCTGACATAGGAGGTATCTGAGCCTCTAGCTATCATCTTTGGAAAATCTTGGGAGACAGGAGAGATTCCAAAAGACAAAGGGCAAATACAGTGCCCGTTGATTTAAAAAAAGGAAATAAGAACAACCCAGGAAACTACAGACCAGTTAGTTTAACTTCTGTGCCAGGGAAGATAATGGAGCAAGTAATTAAGAAAATCCTCTGTAAACACTTGGAAGGTGGCAAGATGATAGGGAACAGCCAGCATGGATTTGTAAAGAACAAATCATGTCAAACCAATCTGATAGCTTTCTTTGATAGGATAATGAGTCTTAGGGAGAAGTGGTGGATGTGGTATACCTAGACTTTAGTAAGTCATTTGATACAGTCTTGCATGATATTTTTATCAAACTAGGCAAATACAACTTAGAGGGGGCTGCTATAAGGTGGGTGCATAAGTGGCTGGATAACTGTACTCGGAGAGTAGTTATTAATGGTTCACAATCCTGCTGTAAAGATACAAGTGAGGTTCCGCTGCGGTCTGTTTTGGGACCGGCTCTGTTTCATATCTTCATCAACGATTTATATATTGGCATAGAAAGTACGCTTATTAAGTTTGCAGATTATATTAAGCTGGGAGGGGTTGTGACTAATCTGGAGGACAGGATCATAATTCAAAATGACCTGGACAAATTGGAGAAATGGTCTGAGGAAAACAGGATGAAGTTTAATAAAGATAAGTGCAAAGTGCTCCACTTAGGAAGGAACAATCAGTTTAACACATACAGAATGGGAAGTGACTATCTAGCAAAGAGTACAGCAGAAAGGGATCTAGGGGTTATAGTAGACCACAAGCTGAATATGAGTCAGCAGTGTGATGCTGTTGCAAAAAAAACAAACATGATTCTGGGATGCATTAATAAGTGTGTGGTGAGCAAGACACGAGAAGTCATTCTGCTGCTCTACTCTGTGCTAGTTAAGCTCAGTCGGAGTATTGTGTCCAGTTCTGGGCACTGCATTTCAAGAAAGATATGGAGAAATTGGAGAGGGTCCAGAGAAGAGCAACGAGAATGATTAAAGGTCTAAAGAACATGACCTATGAAGGAAGGCTGAAAGAACTGGGTTTGTTTAGTTTAGAAAAGAGAAGACTGAGGGGGGACATGATAGCAGTTTTCAGGTATCTAAAAGGGTGTCATAAGGAGGAGGGAGAAAACTTGTTCATTTTGGCCTTTGAGGATAGAACAAGAAGCAGTGGGCTTAAACTGCAGCAAGGGAGGTTTAGGTTGCACATTAGGAAAAAGTTCCTAACTGTCAGGGTAGTCAAACACTGGAATAAAATGCCCAGGGAGGTTGTGGAAGCTCCATCTCTGGAGATATTTAAGAGTAGGTTAGATAAATGTCTATCAGGGATGGTCTAAACAGTATTTTGCCCTGCCATGAGAGCAGGGGACTGGACTTGATGATCTCTCGAGGATCCTTCCAGTCCTAGTATTCTATGATTCTATCCCTTGATAAAGAGAATAGTTATGGTACATGCCAGCCCTGCCTCATAACCTTTAGTCTGTCCTTTTTCAGCATTGCCCCCCTCTGACATCCTTGTACTCTATCCTTTCAGTTGATAAGGGATAATATTTTTTAAGAGGGAAGGAGTGAATGTATCTGGAGGAACACCTTGTCCAAAATGACACCAACTTGTATCACTAACTTTACTCTGGCCCATGTGCGGCACAGCAATATTACAATGAGATAGTAGTGCCATTGTGATTAATGTTACACCAGAATTACCATTTTTACTGGGATAATTATTCACTGCTTAATTTCTCTTCTGTAACAGTTTGGGGGAGCAAAATCATTGAGATTTGATGCATCTTTTAAAAAGGACCATCTGACTAATTTTTCTACTATGCCACTTCATATTAGATTCCCTTTTCACAGAAGCTATAGCACTCAGGTGAAACTGGTAAAGGTAGACTGAATTGTAGAAAGCAGAAAGTTGTTTTTCATTACAAACATTAGTTATTGTATGCTGACACACTATTTGGTCAATGAGGGTCATAGGCTAGTCCTTAAAATAAGGGTTCTGTGCAATGTGTGTTTTGATGCTCGTAACCCTTTCGTGCTGATGGTGAGTGTTGCAGCTAGTGGCCTTTTTTTCATTGTGCTCTTTATTAAGGAAAAGGATGAGAAGCAAGTGACATGGTTAAAATTAAACATGTTGCCTGCTGCTTACTTGGAGTCTTTTGAATTTCTTCTATTTAATCCATTTTCTTTGACAGTACTTTTTAAAAGTAAAATGTGAGTACATATGAGAATTTTAGAGCACTTTGAAAGGTCAGCTCTTAAACCAGAAGCTTCTTTCAGGACAGATCCTTCAAGAGACTCTGAGAATGCCAGCAAAGAGTAACTAATGTACGCAACATACATTTCTTCAGTTGTCCAGGGTGGGGCTCCTAATTCACAGTATTAGGTACAATTCAAAGTCAATGACTACTTGTTATCTTGAGCCACATACATGGGCTGCCTGCAAATATTCTGTCTAGAAAGACAGTCCCAGTCCTGCTTCACATGTGCAAATAACTTTTTTTTTTTTTTGGGTCTTGTCAGGGTGGCTGTAAGATCTGTTAGTGAACCAACTTTTGTTGCTTGTTTCTCCAACCTTTTGAACCACACACAGAATTGGCTTTGAATTATATTGTAGATCTACCTTTCACCTCAAACTTTTTAATAGTTCCTCAAATTGCAGTGGGTGTCAGACACTGTCTGTGACCATTCCCAGGTGGGAGATATCAGTTTGACTTGACTTCTCCCAAGGTGTGTGCATAAAACAGGAGTCAAAATGTTTTGAATCTAGTTGAACATGTGAATCCTCTGCTCAAGTAGCTTTGTATTTTGATCATTGACTTTGAAATACAGACCTTTTTCAACACAATTCAAGTAAACATGCATTTTTTCAGGGCACTTAAAAATTCAGCTGTGAAAAATCTCAATCTAAATGTATATTGGCACCACTGTAATGCCAATGCAGCCCCACTCACCACTGGACAGGATCAAACCTCTGACTGCTGGAGCTTAATGTACAAGCTGTTAGTGCATAAACTAAAGGAGTGTCTTACCTAAAGCTGTGGCAGGCTCATCAATTTCTTGCTGTCTACCCACTGCAATGCGGGATAGAGTGCCACACCAAGCAGACCTGGGTTACTTTATCACCATGATCACCATCCAGTAGATCTTGGAACCTTTGACAGGTGATCTTGAGAAGTTTGGCCAGGAGGCTATCAAATGGCACTTCATTTGTGCACCTCAGCACTACTGTGCTACTTCTGCCCTCTGCCTTAGAGGTGTCCCTCACCCCTGGGAGCCTACTTTTTGCTGTGCAGGGCATGGAAAGAAGAGGAAAGGGGGTGCTGTTGTTGGGATGCCTCTCCATCCAACCTGTACCCTGTCTCCACAGAGCAGAGGGCGACAGGAATGGTCAGAGTTTGCTAGCTGCTTTTGGAAGTGGTGCAGGGCCAGGGTAGGGATATGAGCCTGCCTTAGCCCCCTGCACCACCACCACCCAGAAGCCACTTGTAGTAAGCAGAGCCAAGCTGGGGCCCACATTCTGAACCCTGGCCCCAGTTCTGAACCCTTCCTGCTCCCAGCCTGATAAAAGTGAGGGAGGATGGAGTGAGCAGAGGCGGGGCAAGGGATGTTTTTTGGGTTTGAGGTAGATCCTGGATTACACTTAAATTCAAAAAGTGATCTCATGCTTATGAAGGCTGGAGACCACTGCTCTATCACCATTCACAAACATTGTGGTTTTTTAAATATTTTCCCCCAGAATAATAACTTTGTTCATTTTCTAATCCAAATTCAGATGTGACTCTTCTCCAACAATAGTTCCCTCAGCCTGTTGGAGTAGTACACATCCTGTCGATCTATTTAATTTTTCCATTTCCATTCTGCAACTGGATAGAAGCTTTTAAAAATTATTTAATGGATGTCTTTACATTTTTATACATGTTGATCTGTATATGAAAATACATGAGAAGGAAGAGTAAGTCTGCTGCTACAGAGTTCGGGGGCTGCTTTTTCCCCTACCTCTTGATTTAAAAAAAAATGCTCCCAGTATTGGTTTCTGCCTTTTCACCAGCATCAGCAGGAGCCCAAGAAGTTTGTGAAACAGGAAGACCAAGTTGTCATAATTTTCCAAATTTCTGTTGCCTCCTTGA